CCCTTCCCTTCCCATCCTTCCCTCCTTCCCTCCCTTCCTCCCTCCCTTCCTCCCTTCCCTTCCTTCCCTCCCTTCCTCCCTTCCCTTCCCATCCTTCCCTCCTTTCCTCTCTCCCTCCCTTCCTCCCTCCCTTCCTCCCTTCCCTTCCTTCCCTCCTTCCCTCCCTCTCCCTTCCTCCCTCCCGTCCCTTCCTTCCCTCCTTCCCTCCCTCTCCCTTCCTCCCTCCCTTCCCTCCCTCTCCCTTCCTCCCTCCCTTCCTCCCTTCCCTTCCCGTCCTTCCCTCCTTCCCTCCCTCTCTCTTCCTCCCTCCCTTCCTCCCTTCCTCCCTCCCTTCCTCCCTTCCCTTCCTTCCCGCTTTCCTTCCCTTCCTCCCTTCCTCCCTCCCTTCCTCCCTTCCCTTCCTTCCCTCCTTCCCTCCCTCTCCCTCCTCCCTCCCTTCCCTCCCTCTCCCTTCCTCCCTCCCTTCCTCCCTCCCTTCCTCCCTCCCTTCCTCCCTCCCTTCCTCCCTTCCCTTCCTTCCCTCCTTCCTTCCCTCCCTCCCTTCCTCCCTCCCTTCCTCTCTTCCCTTCCTTCCCTCCCTCCTTCCCTCCCTCCCTTCCTCCCTCCCTTCCTCCCTTCCCTTCCCTTCCCTTCCTTCCCTCCCTCTTTCCCTCCCTTCCTCTCTCTTTCCTCTCTTTCTTTCTTCTTGTCTCACTTTGTCACCCAGGCTGGAGTGCAGTGCCATGACTATGGCTGACTGCAGCCTCAAACTCCCTGGCTCAAGCAATCCTTCCCCTCAGCTCCCCTAGCAGCTGGGACTACAGGCGTGCACTACCACACCTGGCAAATTTTGTGGAAACAGGGTCTCACTATGTTGCCCATGCTGGTCTTCAACTACTGGCCTCAAATGATCTTCTAGCCTTGGCCTCCCAGAGTGCTGGGATTACAGGCATGAACCACTGCATCCAGTCAGTATTCATCTTTCAAAAACAAATCTGAGTCATCATTTGAAAATTTATAATCACTTTAAAATCTGGATTTTTGGCATCTCTTTAAAATGAGATGATCTGCAAACACTGGGCCTGTCTTATCTGTGTGGAAATAATTGCCGGGGCTGAGCAATGGCTGTCTCTCGCTCTCTCTCTCTTTTTTTTTTAGAGACGGGGTCTCACTATGTTGCCCAGTAGCTATTCACAGGTGCCATCCCACTACTGATCAGCACGGGAGTTTTGACCTGCTCTGTTTCCGACCTGGGCCGGTTCACCCCTCCTTAGGCAACCTGGTGGTTCCCGCTCCCGGGAGGTCACCATATTGATGCCGAACTTGGTGCGGACACCTGATCGGCATAGCGCACTACAGCCCAGAACTCCTGGGCTCAAGAGATCCTCCAGCCTCAGCCTCCCGAGTAGCTGGGACTACAGGCACGTGCCACCGTGCCCGACACGGCTGTCTCTTAATAGGGTTGCTCACCAGCAGGGGCAGGGCTGGGGTCCAGCCCAGGTGTCCCTAAGTCCCCAGCCTCAGCTGTCACTCAAGTGTCCACTTAAGGCTTGAAGATACCAGGGTCATGGCTGGGGACAGAGGCTCCGTCCCTGCACCCCCAGGAGAGACACTCACCCACAGCTTGGTAGAGGGCCAGGAAGCCCTTGTGGAGGTGGGCAGTCTGGTTCTCTGCGGAAGGCTGTGTGCGGAAGGTCAGCCGCAAACTCCTCCCTGAGGATACAAACTCCCTCTGACCAGGGGGCCTGCCCAGAGGTGAGCCCTGCTGACCACAGAACTGGCTTGGATCCGCCCCGCTGGCTGAGATCTGAAAGGGGGAGGGGGGCGAGGCTGCAGACAGGTGTGGTGTGAATCTGCGCTGCTGGTGCCACAGGGGCACGTGCCCCTCTGGGGCTCAGAAGGCACCTCACAGAGGCTTCCTCAACTAGCTTCTGGTTCCATTATTGACTCCTGAGTTTCTTCCAGACATAATCACATACTACAATGTTTCTTTAGCCTACCATAATTACTTCTAAAACCGACTATATTTTCCTTCTTTTAAGAAGTTCCTTGGGAACCCCAGGGTTCCCATAAGAGTCTCTGGATTATAAATTGTAAGAAGGCAAGGACTGCTTCTGTCTTTCTCACCACTGGGTTCCTGGTGCTCAGCGCTTTGACTCAATGAACACAGGCATAAGCCCCGCCCATCCAGCGTCTCCTCCATCCCCAAGCCCCGCCCCATCACCTTCCGTTTCTTCGAATAACTTTCTGTGGCCAACATCTGTGAAGCAGTAAGATCCTCTGCAGAGACGGAGGCTCTGAGGTTCCTGTCTTTTCCTGCTTTCCTTCTTTTGGGGTGCCCCTCCTCTTATCCCATGGACTTTGTAAACGAAGCCCTCAAATGTATGAAAACCTAAGGACACAGGTGTGCGTAGTCCAGGTACGCTGGATGATGCTCTTACGCTGGTAAGTTCTTAGGCAGCCTGTCTCTTTCAATGCCCCTTTGACTGTCTCACCTCTGCTCAAATCCCTTCCTGTGGGTTCCTCAGGTCCAAGAAGGGGAGGCCTGGAGGGAGTACCTGGGCCATGCTTCCTGCTTTATCTCTGCTCCAGGCACATCGCTCACTGCTTGGCTCATTTTATTTCTGGCTTTCACACTGATTCACATATCCTGGATTTTTGCTAGCTCTCCATTCCCTCATTCTCCACAAATTCCAAATTCTTTCAAGACTTCATCCAGACCATGTCATTATGATCACAGAAACTGGGTAAAAGTTGGGATGGAAGAAAATTTCTCAATCACCCCAAATGCCTGGCTCAGCAAACTAAAGAGGAAAATAAAAACAAACACTACCCCCCAAAAAAACTGCATGTAATTATTGACTCCTGGGAAACCCAAAAGTTGGAGAAGAAAGAAAATATAATTATCATATGCCATGTGCTCAGATGTGAACATTTTACAGTTATAATAATGTAAATAATTAATACAGATTTAACTAAAAATGATGTAGGTAAACTGGCAGAATGGGGAAGGGACATGTGGGTGGTGAAGACTGAAGACAGATAAAGCTAGTCCTTGTCTTCTATACCGTAGTTGGATGTTAATAGAAAACATGTAAAAATGAAAGATAAATAAGCATGTTACTTACACATATGAGGCTGAAGAGCAGAAGAAACAGCTACATGAACTGGAAAAAGACTGCTCCTGAGAAGCAGCACTCAGGGGTGTAGAGGAGCAGCTTGGAGACTGTTGCTATTCATAAGCCTTTTTAAAAACTTTTTTTTTTTTTTTTCAGACAGAGTTTCGCTCTTGTTACCCAGGCTGGAGTGCAATGGCGTGATCTCAGCTCACTGCAACCTCTGCCTCCTGGATTCAAGCAGTTCTCCTGCCTCAGCCTCCCGAGTAGCTGGGACTACAGGCGCGCACCACCATGCCCAGCAAATTTTTTGTATTTTTAGTAGAGACGGGGTCTCACCATGTTGACCAGGATGGTCTTGATCTCTTGACCTTGTGATCCACTCGCCTCGGCCTCCCAAAGTGCTGGGATTACAGGCTTGAGCCACTGCG